AGAACCAAATCTATGTGTCTGACTCTAGAATAAGACACTATGTACTGACAAAAAATTGCATCTAGTAGCATCAACAGAGGTAGCTAGCTGCTGACCAACCTAATATATAAGTGAAGAGTATTCATCTAAAGGGTGAAAAATGCCAGTGTGTCACAAAAGCTTCTCAGTATGTATGGGGTCACGGATGCCAGAAGGTACTTCCTGTAAGTATTTGTCAACAGATAAGATTAGAGGTAATAGTCAGCAGAAGTCAAAGTTTTTTGTTTCCTCAGCTGAACAATATTAATTATCCCAGGAGACTGGTTATTGTTGGCAACTTAAAATGCTAGGTCATACTCCAAGACAGATGCGCACCAGTAGCAATGTAGGCTTGATGTGGGTACTGGCCCAGAGTTGCATCCATCTCTAAGGTATATGAATACTCCAGTAAAAGAAAGGACTGGATAGTAAATGGCAACATTTAAATCAAAGGCAACCAAGACCCTTCCAGCATCACATCACTATGGAATGCCACTTCTGGAAAATCACTGCATCAAAATGACCAAGAGGTTTCTCCCACGACAGCCCTCATCGTGGACAAGCAGCTTCTGCTGACACTCCCAGCTCTGCATATTCCTTGGGGCAGGGCCATCTCACCATTAAGAAGCCTGACTGGTGTTCTTCCTCATGGAGGTCAAATCTGACTTTCTGTATCCTGTACTGGCCTCTGTTTGCCCTTTGAGAGGTTGTCTATTCTGCTATCTCTACTCCTAACTGTGTTCTGAGAGGATTGGACTTCCTTCCCATTTCTTTCCTGTCCTTGATCATAGGCAAAGGTTTCAGTGTTAATGCTCCTGGCAAAGTCCTATGAGCACACACCAAGTGGAGTTAATCCTGTTAATGCTGAGGCCATGGACATTCTTCACAGACAAGGACTGTTCTGGTGTCCTGGCATCTGTATGAGGCTGGGGATCCAGCTTGTACTAAGGAGAGCCTCTAGAGCTCTGCTCATGTGTGCTGGTCTTATTCAACAAAGTGAACTCCCATTCTGTGTGACTAAAAATAGATGCTCACGAAATAAATTATTTTGCTAACTATGATCCCACTGGGATCAGTAATGAAACAGGTGGGAAGCTAAGTCTCACCACCTTCATGAAAACTACATGTTTTCTTGGGATCATCTGGCACATGCAATCCAAAAAACAATTTGTTACTTACTCATTAGCATTCAAGCTAGCTGTGGCTCTGATGATCATGTAGCAGAGTGTGAGAGCACTGAGGAGGCCAAAACTGGCAATAATAAACCATTCTTCTGTTGACAAAGGAAAGGGAGGAAATCACTCTGGGGAGAAGGTTTAAGTCAAATCGATGTCAACACTTCCCTCAAATACGAAGCAGACGTCAACGGAGGTGGAAGCCAAGGCTGGCTCAAGGAAGTCAAGCAGGAGGAAGTTTGCCAAAAGCTACTAACTAGAGAAGGTTAGTGGAAGTACTGGGAAAGCTGCAAGGAGAAAGGAAAGCATGGCTCAACCATCTCTTTCAGTGTAGATCCAGAAGTATACGAGGAGTGTGGCTACCAAGAGGCACAGGGAAATGATGTAGGAGGACTGTACGTGGATATATGTCACTGTGAATGTAGAGGACAGAACAACCATACTTATAACCATTTTTCAAATTTCCTTTTGCTATTTCTGCATGTTTCTAACACTTAGTCTTAGATAAAGGTTAGGAACATATAATGGGGTTCTGTGGGCACCCTAAACAGAGAGCTGCTCCTCCAAGCCACCCGTGTCTGCTTTACCTTCTCTTACCTATTGACCTGCTTAGAGTATTCTTTTTTAAAATATTTATTTATTTTATGTATATGAGTATATTGTAGCTGTCTTCAGACACACCAGAAGAGGGCATCGGATCCAATTATACATGGTTGGGAGCCACCATGTGGTTGCTGGGAATTGAACTCAGGACCTTTGGAAGATCAATCAATGCCCTTAACCACTGAGCCATCTCTCCAGCCCTGCTTAGAATATTCTTATTAAAAAGACACATCACAGTTGTATCAAGAAAATAGGTTCACAACTCCTGCTGGGGAACAAAGCTGGTCCTCTGTCTTTGTAGAAAAGCAGGAGGGCTGGTGACCAAAAAGGTACTTGATTCATCAAAGAGTTGAAATTCTGATGTGTACAAGTCAAAATCAGAGTCCTGTATGCATGGGGAGGAGGGGAGACTAACGGGGCCTCAGAACCAATCCAAAGTCTTAGCTATAAAATAGTCCCACGATAGACTAAATAGGAACGGCTTAACAAAGTAATTCTATAAAGTTCCTCTACATTTGTAGCAAGGCATGACAAATGTTCATATGCAAAACTGTGCCTAAAAGGAGAATTTCTCCATTTAAACATTTTAAAATTAGTATGCAAAATAATGGCTTTCATATGACTTCATATATGCAACATGAGTCTTTTCAGGAAATATTTGAAATCATGTGTACGTGTGTCTATGTGCATGTATGTGCACATGCATGTATGTGCATACAGGTGCCCATGGAGGCCAGAAGAAGGTGGGGAGCCCCCTTGAGCTGGAGCTACAAGTGGTTGTGAGGCACCCCATGTGGGTGCTAGGAACCAAATTTGGGTCCTTCTGGAAGAGTATCAAATGCTCCTTACAGCCCTACCTTGGGTATTTCTTAGTCTGGGTTTCCTGAATCCTAAAACTGCATTAAACTGTGTGTGCACATGCTTTTTTTTTTTTTCTCCCTAGAAATGTCTTAGAGATCGTATTCTCTAGGCTCTCAGGATGCAGAGTTTATTGCATGAGCTAATCTTTGCTGGCCTCACTGGTTTCTATGATTAAAATTCCTAGCAATCTCTTTTCATATGACATTGCAACCACTGCTTCTTGGATTACAGATTTCCATAGCATGTGATTTAAGCTTTTCATTGAAGTTAAGACGAACACTCAGGAGTCCATGTAAAATCCCTGTTTTAACCTATGTATTTTTTAAGTTGAGTATACACATACTGGTATTTTTTAAAAAGTTTAAGAGATGAATGACTATCAGCAGCAATGAGTTTATAACTCACAGTATTCCTTTTGTTTTCCTTTCCTTTTTAGCTATAGCAGAGGCTGGTCTTGAACTTCTAATCCTTTTGCCTCTCCTCCTAAGTGCTAGGAGTTCTGGGATTATAAGCATATTCCACTGTGCCTGTTTCTTGTTTTCCTTAAAGGCAGATTCCTCCACATTGGAATTGAACTGAGATCCTTACAGAATATATCCTAGCACTAAGCGGCCACCCAACCCACTTTCTAATAAACCGCTGTTCAAGATAAGCAGAGTGATATTTACAACTTTAATTACATCTGAATTTCTGAAATCTGAACACATAAACCTATTTGTGTCTTTGCATGTACGAAATACCACCAGAGTCCCCCCTGCACCCAAGAGTACTTCAGCACCAACTGCTTCTGCTGGGCCACCCTCCGACCTCCCACTGCTTACTCCAGCACAGTGGGTGCTGGCTGGATATACTGTACTTACTTAGGGCAATACAGGCAGGGACTTGGAAGGAAAAGAGGTACTTTGGGTCTAGATAACCACATGAATTTTCTTTACTGGCATTATGGGTAAATTCTGATAAAAGTGTTTTATTTGGTATGTGAATTATTTTTATCATCAAAAGATTTTATTATCAAGATTTTGAAGACATTTCCATATAAAAATGATAAGATGTGTGCTTAATGTAGTAGGTGCTCAATAAATGCCTGGTTAATGAAGGACTCATAAAAGCACAATTGTAAATCACCGTTATCTTTTTTTCTTTTTCTTTTTTTTTTTTAATTTTATGTATGTGAGTATACTGTCACTGTATTCAGACACAGCAGAAGAGGGCATTAAAGATGGTTGTGAGCCACCATGTGGTTGCTGGGAATTGAACTTAGAACCTCTGGAACAGTGCAGTCAGTGCTCTTAACTGCTGAGCCATTTCTTCAGCTCCCACCTTTATCTTCTTTCATACTACTAGACCAGTGAACTCTAGACCATAAAACCTGAATGCCAAAGAAGGAAAACCATGAAATGTTGCTAAAACAGGCATTGGGAAATGGTAAGAAATGAGCCAAATGATATCAAAGAAGAGTTTTACTCCCAAAGGAATGAAGGCTCTTGGCATTCAGACAAATGGTAATCTCTGGATGGTTTAAAACCATGCGTTTCAACAAACAGAGCACAGAAGTCTTAACATGTAAAGAGCAAGCTAGTCCATAAACAGTTCCCCCATGTTTGATATTGACTCCCAGAGTAAGTGGAGCCCCAACAACTCCAGGCTTGAAGTCTTGGGCAAGTGGCAGCATCATTAGAAAAGGCAGCACCAGAGTGGGAACAGGAGATGGGGAGGGAAGGCTGTTAGATGGAAACTGCACGTAAGGGATGAAAACGGAGAAGAGAGTTTGCTGGTTAAGAGATGAATGCCTATGACACCCACACACACACGCCACACACACGCCACCAACCCACTCACACGGCGCACAGATGAATGCCTATGACACCCACACACATGCCACCAACCCACTCACACGGCGCACACACGGGCACTGTCCTTGTGCTATGTTGTTTATTAACAGTTCAACAATTAAGGCATCCATCACTATCTATATTAGTTTTTCCCTAAGTTGCTGCTAGCCCGGGAGGTGGCAGGCAGCAGTGCTCAGCATGCAGCATACCAACACTGCTGCCTGCAGCCCATGCTGCATCAGTGCTTCCCTTTAACATGGCTATTCGCAATGCAATGATCTCACAACACGGAACAGCCATTACAGCAAACCTTTAAACAACTAACCACATAATCACCAGCATACACATTCCCTATTATAAAGAAAGTCTGTTATTCCAAACGTGTTTAAATGTACACATTATCCCTTATGAAACTGCTGGACCATGTGGCTGCACTTCCTCCTTGACAGTCATGAGGTGCTCAATACTAGCAGCAAGGCTCTCTGGTGCCTGGAAATGGGTCCTCACTTACTTGTTACTGCAATGTTGATTTCACCCGTTCGAGGAGTGAGCTCCCCATCTTGAGGAAGAGGTGATATCCCCGAAGTTCTCAGTGGCTCAAGGCCAAGGGAACTGTCACTGGCAAGGTCTCCGAGGGCTGATCTTCGGTTAACTGCTTGGGTTCTGGTGAGCCTTTCCATATCAAATGCCACATTATCAGTACATGGCAGATTTGGCTGCAAAACAGTTCCAGATTAAAAATCATCCTAAGAACATAAGAACGAGTTCATAAAATCCTGAATGTTTACACCAACTGCAAAGACTTCCTATATGCCTGCTTATCTTTTCTGTCATTTAAGAAACTTTCTTCAAAGAATCAGCTGACTTCCCTTTACCCCTCCCCCACAAATGGTACAAAGGAAAACCAAAATCCATAGCTCCAAACTGGCCACTATAACTAGCAAAGAAATGATAAACATTTGTGGCCACTGTCACAGGCAGAGGGAGGCTAATATCATGTACAAAGCTGGAAAACTTGCAGTTTGAAAATTTAGTTAACGATCTTAGTTAACATTAAATGTTATTGTTGAGGGGCAGAAGGTAACAGAATACCTCATTTATTCTGTAACTTCTCTAAAATGCTCCATTTACTTGGTAGCTAGTTAAAAACAAAACAAAACAAAACGAAATTTCTACCTTTAAAAACAAAGCACACAATCAAGAGCAGATCAAAGCTCAGACTTGTAAACTGTAAGAAAGTCATCTGCTTCCAAGCCTGAGGATCCAGCTCCAGCCAGTCGTCTACCTATATGCAGTGGTGTGCAACACTACAGCAGAGTAAGAGGCTGTTCCTGTCTGCAGTGGATAGCACAGGAAAGGCAGAGCTCAGAAAAATGGTTCACACCAGGGTCAGCCACCACCCAGAACCAATGGCTTCTACAGGAAAAGAATTCTGTTTTAGAGCCTCCCAAAGTTCTATCAAAAACAAAATAAAGACTGCAATCTAAGAGCTGATGCTTATAGTAGTCATATCCTGAGAACCATAACAGCTATCATTTATTCCACAAGGCTCCATTAAAAATGGACACAGGAGAGCTGAAGAGATGGCTCAGTGGTTAAGAACACTGGCTGCTCTTCCAGAGTTCCCAAGTTCAATTCCCAGCAACCACATGGTGGCTCACAACCATCTACAATGGGATCTGATGCCCTCTTCTGGTGTGTCTGAAGATAACTACAGTGTACTCATACACAAAGAATAAATAAAACTTGACTGAGGACAAGTTAATACTTCCATGTGTTGGCCATGTGAGAGAGTTTCTGTTTGTCTCACATGGAGGATGACTTGGCTCTTAGAGAACAGTTAGCAATGTTGAAAGACTTAATTTTTTTTTAATTATTAAAAGTATACCATGGATTTATATTTTTATCGAAATTTTGGTTGTAAGTCTCAGCTTTAATGGCTGAGCTATTTCTCTACCACTATATACCTTGCTTTTCTTTCTTTTCCTTTCCTTTTTCTTTTTCCCAAGACAAGGTTTCTCTGTGCAGCCCTGTCTGTCTTGGAACTCACTCTGTAAACTACGCTGTCCTTGAACTCAAAGGTCCACCTGCCTCTGCCTATGCAGTGCTAGGATTAAAGGAGTGCATCACCACTACCTGGTTCCTACATAGCTTTCTTAAGGAAAGCAAGAAAGTCTTCAACACTCTCAGTGCACTGTGTGGGCACCTGTCACGCTGACCTCAGTGCAGCACACTTGGCTAACACACCTGTCAAGTTGTCAAGGTTCTCTAGGGGCTTTTTTGTCACCATCTGCTTTTATTGCTTACAAGTTACTGACACTCAAAGACTTGAAAGGCAAGTTCAAGGGGGCAGAATATGACATCATTTCATATTATGCCAAATATGAGAAAAATTACCACTGAAACACAGTTTTCTATTTCTTTTGTGCACCCTCAACCAGAAGCATACTTTTCAAAATGGACTAGTACAGTTACTTATATTCTCTTCTAGTGCTCCCAAAGGTAGTTTAGAACTTGGAAGTCATCTGGAACAAGGGCACTGTTACAGCAACAAGGTCAATGTGGTGAAGAGAGCTACTGTATTCTAACGAAATATAGTTAGTCATGGCTTCTGTTATGTCAGTTGTATTATATTATACATGGATATGATGTTGCACAAAAGTAGTGACAATCAGAGAACATACCACAATTCCTAGGGCTTTCAAAATATTAAGTTTGCACATAGGACAGGTACAGTGTTCACCGAGCCAGGGATCCACACAGGATTTGTGAAAAACATGCCTAGAAAGGAACAGAGAATTATGTCATAAATCACACAGTGAAGAACTCCTATATCAACATGGAAAGATTTAGAATGTTTAGGGGTTTTTTCTGCTTTATGGGATTTTCAACATTGAAGAGATAAATAGTGAGGGCATATAAAAGCATAATTTATAGAAACTCTCCTGTACTCAATCTCGTGTGGTATAAAATGAGTGAGTGGGATGTGTTTTGTATTGTGCTGTAGATCCAACACAGGGCCTCATGTATGCTGTAAGTGACGGTCTTGCTGTGTTGCCCAGGATGGTCCCAAGCTCAAGTGATCCCAGAGTAGCTGGGACTATAGGTGTAAACTACTCTGCCCCAGACTGCCTTTTCATGCCACTGAATTCCAACAGACCTGAGGAAACCTAAAAAAGTGTATTCAGAATAAAAATAACCAGACTTGAATATTGGTAAAAGTCTCAGGGCAGTTAGAACTGTTTTAAGATGGTGAACTAAGCTAAGATGGTGAACTGTAGCTAAGAATAAGATCATCAGTTGCAATTCTCGGCTGAAATGTTAAAGAGCTAAGGACTCGGGGAGTGGGGTGGATGATATCTTCTATTTAGGAGAGCAGAAAGTCACATCCTCCTGACTTCTGTCACCCACCCAGGGAGGGTCTGTAATCCCGGACTAGGGACTTTTTCACATGAGAAGACTGGAGAAAAAGAGGCCAGGCAGAGCTCATGCCCAAGCTCTGGAACCGTTGCACAAGAACCTGAAGAAGCTGCTACCCACCAAGGGTACAGCTGGAGTGCTGGGCTGACCGGATCATCAACAGATAGAGTTTTGGAACATGTTGAGTTTGGAATAAAAGACAATTTGAGAGATAGCAAATTGGGCCATCACATCTTTAAACCTTAATTGCTGTTGTTGTTATTATTATTATTATTATTATTGTTTTTGTTTTTGTTTTTTTTCGAGACAGGGTTTCTCTGTATATCCCTGGCTGTCCTGGAACTCACTCTGTAGACCAGGCTGGCCTCAAACTCAGAAATCCTCCTGCCTCTGCCTCCCAAGTGCTGGGATTAAAGGCGTGCGCCACCACCGCTCCGCTAATTGTTAATTTCTAATTTAATGTTTTATTATTGTTTAAAAATGCAGTTTTGATTTAAAAAGATGGTCTAGAAAACGTGTATAAATCAACTTCAGCTAACAGTATATACTGACCCAGTTTCCACTTAATGGTCCTATACTCATTTCTTTGGAGCCCAGAATAAAACCTTTAAGTCTTGATTCATCAGTCTATTCCCAACCCTTCAGACAGGGCATTTTCAGCCCTGAATTAGATCTGAAAACCATCAATTAGGGAGACCTAAATTTATAGAATACAAGTTATTGTGTGTCTGCCTGTTATTACTTGTGGACAAAGGAGTGTGCTCCAGAGAAGGACAAGGGGCTTCTGAGGACTCAGCTCTTATGAGGGTCATCCACAGCTATTGATCAGCAGGTCTCAGCTGTGCCTAGATGGGCTACAGTGGAACACAGAACAGAACACAGCTGCTGCTGTTGCTGCTTCTCTTAAAAAACCTTCACCACCATCACCACCACCTCCTCCTTCTGTCTGTGTGTCTGTGTGTCTGTCTCTCTCTCTCTCTGGTTTTTAGGACAGAGGTTCTCTGTCTTGGCAGTCCTAGAACACACTTTGTAGACCAGGCTGGCCTCAAGCTCACAGAGATCCACCTCCCTCTGACTCCTGGGTGCTGAAATTAAAGGTGTGTGACATCATGCCTGGCTCTAAAAACAACTATTTGTGGACATGCATGCACATGTTCACAATGTGGTAGTCAGAGGAAAACTTGAAGGAGTCAGTTCTCTCCTACAACCATGTGGGTTCCAGGGATCAAACTCAGGTCATCAGGCTTGGTGGTAAGTGCGTTTTTATAAACTGGACTATCTTACTAGCCAAGAACAGTACTTCATAACCTCTCTGGCACATACGAAGGTCCCTTTAGATCTCATCGAAAATATACAACCTAATCTGCATACATCTGGAAGCAGTTGATGTCTGGGGGTTCAACTTGTGCTGGGATGGAGTGGGACAGTTGAGAAGGTGTTCTAGCCACAGGATGGACAATGGGATTTGGCTGGCGATCAGAGTAAGAGATCATGTGATCTTCAAAAGGGCTGCTTTGGTTCGGGAGTGTGTCGGAAGAAGGTAGGGTGTGTTAGCTGAATCTGAACCAGGTGATGGTAGAAATCCTGGAGTATGGCAGAAGAAGATGTCTGATAAACGTTTGGCTCTGGCCTGTCCTGGGCAGTGTTTTTGTTCTCTTCATTACTAGAACAAAATGGAGTACCTTCCATATTTGAGATCTCTCTCTCTCTCTCTCTCTCTCTCTCTCTCTCTCTCTCTCTCTCTCTCTC